TTATATCATTGCAGGGATTTTAAATTCAGTTGAGTTCTCAAATTTCCAATGAAGCTTTCAACTTCGACCAATAACAATATCTGTAGCAGTTACTCCCTTATTTGTGCGAACGAAATTTATTTCTATATATTTGCTAAATTGAAATTATCTTAAACAAAACAAAAAAAAATTATTTTTTTTAAGTAACTTTCGGACTTGTTTATCAGCTCTATTTTTAACTGGAGCCCTGCCCGCGATAACAAAAAAAGTTTCAAAAAAATTTTTTCGATTATTTTGTCCAACCCCTCTACCATGGTAATATGTCATACTAAGTTAAATGAAATAATTTATCGAAAAAAGGCAGTGATAGCATTGTGTAGAGGTTTAGATGCAATTTTATATGCATTTCGGTTACAATACTCTTTTACTCTCCAAAATTATATGTATCTAGAATTACACAGGGCACTGTGGAACAAAAATCATTTTTCGTGGTCAAAAATAAAAAAATTAATTTATAAGAAGAAAAAAAATATCAACATGGTTTTTTGTAGTAAATTGTCCAAGGAATATGACGGTGTATTTTGTTTTTTTAGTTTATTAATGGACATAGCAATTAAATTAAAACAAAGTCGAAACAAAAAAATTTAATTTTTCAGTTAAATTTTTATTAATATGATAAATCCTTATAGTAAATAAAAATATTAAAACCATGCATGATTTATAGATAAATTTATTTCTAAGATATATATGAATTCATTATTTTATAAAAATACTATTAATACCAGAGCCATTTACATATTTCTGCCCTGTACAATGAAATTGTAACTTTAGGGTGCTCTATAAAAAAAGCCTTACGTTGCCGAGGTAAAAAAAAATGTGTACATTTGTTTGGTATATATACTCAAGAATTAAAAAAAATTAGCTGATTTTTATAATAATGATAAAATTAATGAAAAAATTATAAAAATAAACTTGAGATTAATATTTATGTTACAACATTTTCAAAATTTTTTATATCTAGCAAAATAGATTCATTATTTTTTTTAAATTCGATAATCGAATTTGTAATTAACAATCTTAAATATTTTGATTCAATTTATTTAGTTTAAATTTGTTTTGATAAATATTTGCGATTTTACATCCATTACTTTATTTATGAAAATTATTAACCACAAATTTGTAATCAAAGATCTCAAAAACTACTAGCAAGTAATTTTTATTTATTTATTTACAATTTTTTCTATAATCATCTGCCATTTTGGATCCGCCAATTTGGTTTTTTTGAAATTTTGACTTCATATTTGAAATCAGCTACCCAAAAAACCTGAAGGTGGTCAATTTTTAGAACATTGAAGTTAATTTTCTAATTTTGGCCGCATTTTTTTGATTTTGTCCCACTGTGCAGGGTTAAGAAAAAAAATTCCGGTTGCAAGAGATTTTTGCACGAATCTTGGACATTTAAGTGTGGCCGATTACAAATCTGCAATCGAATTCTCTCAACAAGAAACAGTTTTTATGCAATTTATAAACAAATTCCTAACTAGGATTTTAAAAATTCACTTCAGTGAGCCTCGATGGCTTAGGGCAGGGGATAGAGCGTTCGCTTTCTATGAGGTGAGCCGGGTTCGAATCCCAGCGATGGCTGGTCGATACAAATTCCGCATCTTGCTTGCACCGACCACAGTTCTGACGCAAAAATATCCTCAGTGGTAGACGGATCATGGCTTAGAGTCTTCTTGTCGTCAGGCTAATAGTGGGAGGTTTTCCTCTCCATGTAACGCAAATGCGGGTTAGTTCCATCAAAAAGTCCTTCACGAAGGCAAATTTCTCCGTACACTTAATCCAGGAGTTCTCTTGTCCACCGGATTGGGTTCAAAATTACAAGACTTCGGAGTTCAACATTAGTAGCTGTAAAAACAAAAAATTAGGTCAACTGTTCAACGACGGTTATGAAATGAAATACAATTTACTTCATTGGAGCCGGAATAGCCTGGTTGGTAGGGCGTTGGACTGGCGTTCCTGAGAACGAGAGTTCAAATCCAGCCGGCCGAGGAATCCCCATGTATTAAATGATGCCAATTGCACGTTAAATTTGTCAGAGTCACAAAGTCCTCCCATAACAAATCAATGCCTCCAGGAGTTCCCTTGTCTTTTGGATTGGGTTCAAAGTTACAATGCTGCGGAGTTAAACATTGGTACTCGTAAACTCAAATTTGGGTATGCTGTTCAACGACGGTTACAAAATACTAAATTCACTTTAGTAGAGCCACAGTGGTTCAGGAAATAGAGCGTTCGCAATCCAATGAGGTGACCCGAGTTTGAATCCCATTGATAACTGGTTAATACGAATTCCGCACCCGGCTCGCACCGATCACAGTGCTGTTGTAAATTATCCTCAATGGTAGACGGACCATGGCTTAGAGTTCCCTTGACGTCAATTCTGACGCGATGGGTTAAGCTCAAATATATGTAAACCTATATGTTCTTTATAAATTTGTACCATGAGACAAACTAAACTAAAAATACTATTTTGAAAAATGCTGTAACAATGCAAAAAAAAAAATAAATAAATAAATAAGAATCCGATAATTAGCTACCGAACAAAATATTGTTAAATAGATAATAATTGTTGATAAATAAAAACATGCTTTTATTTTTATATTTCTTTAAACGAAATTTTAAAAAGGTTTCTAAAATTAATTTGAGACAATTGATCAGATATATAATGATTAATGTAAAGCTTAGCTTTTTAATAATATTTATTAATAGAACTTCAGTTAAACGTAGAATATTTAAAAAATATTTTATTAAAATGACGGTATAATAAAGGAAATATGATTTAACTATCAAGATTTAATTTTTAATCATTCGATAACTATTAACGAAATTTACTTGCACGCGTATTTACATTACACAGTAAGATATAGTTATGAGAACTGTTAACCAAACTGGTTAAAAATCGAATTTTTTAAGCCAATTATGAAAAAAAATTATCTAGTAAACAATCAGTTGAAAGTTACTGGTGTCCGATTTTAGACATGCATGCTTTTTTTCAATATACTCGCAACATATATTGAAAATGTAATAAAATGTTTCCAAATGAATTTTTTCTTCCTTTGTTATATAAAAATAAAAAGGTTTGTTTTTTTTAAAAACAAAAACTACCCTCAAAAAAATAATTAAAATTTTTTTGTTTAAATACTTAGTTCGGTTTTACCATTTGCTTTTATTTACAAGGACTTTAATCTTCTGTGATGTTTATATTAGTAATGCGTTGTTGCAATTTTCAATTAGTAATGTGTTTATTAATTATAAACTAAATTATAAAATGTAATATTTATGTTTTATTTGCAACTGCAGTTCATTATGCTTCTATAAAATTCTCAGTTTACAAACCCATATAATAAAAATATATTATTGCATTTACTAATTTGCTAAAAATATAGTAAAAAAATAATACATGTTTATTGTTTTATTTTCATTTATGACTTTTTTTTTGTTGATAAAATAAAAAGTCAAATATTTAAAATTCAATGTCTCAGGAACTATTTTGTATTTTTCCTCAGAAAATTACATTCTTTAAATTTATGTAAAAATTTCTATATATTACAATTCAAAGTATTTTCGACTATTATTATTGAATGAAGTAATAAATAATTATTAAAAATTATTTTTTGCTTTGAATTATCTTTCTATAAACGAATATCATTATTATGTGCAAAAATTTTTCAATTCGCTGAAAAGTTCTCGAAATATGCAAAGTACGAAAAACAATAAAATTAACATTAAGGGATTTCAAACTTTCGACCGCTCTCCTGACAAAACTATTGGAACCATATTTCCCAGATTACGGCTACTCTCCATACTTTGGGAGTCAGGAATTCGTCAAAAAAGGTACGTTTATTCTGAGAAAAAAATTTTTGTGCCTGGGTTCGTTGCTAATAGCATATTCGAAGTCACTCCATCAAACCATTACGGTGGAGTCCTATTAAGTGAAAATCCGATTATTAGATCAAAAGTTATTCAGGGTAGTATTTTGTTTTTTAATTTTGCATAATGTACATGGGATAGTTTGACAATGCATGCATTGCAGTCTAATATTTCTATTTTATAAATTTATTACTATGTTCATTGTTCTGCATGGTTTACAGAACCAGTTGATGCTGTGATTTGATATGGTTTTGTGTGACACATTCATGTAACTAACAGTTAAGATTTTTTACAGAACTGTGTAACAGTACCATGGCACATCGTTCTGCAATACAGAATAAAGTATGTAAAATACTAAAGCATCAAATTCAGAGCGAAATTTTTTTAGCAATTGATTTTTTTTTCCAGAGAAGCTTTATATCTGAGGCTAAAATTGTGAGTTTTGCTGATGCATCATAGTTTTAAAAAATACATGAATTGACAAGAAAATTATTTAACAACTACCACAGAACTTTTATACAGGAACATTTTAAATTCCAACATATTTACAATCTTCGTGATTTAATTTTGGAAATCAAAAAAAGATTATGACTGTTATCAATCCTAATCTATAATTGCTTAGGTAAATAATGTTGCTATGTAAATGTTACTTAATAAATTCTTGATGTCCCACTTATAGACAAGCCATAATTAACAAAGTTCAACCTTTTTAGGAAGCAAATATGTATTGTTTCTTTATTTTTGCTAACTCCTGTTAATAATATAATTACCAAAACTAACATTTTATAAAATTATATGATGACACTTTAACAATGAACAGTAATACTGCTACGAAAAAAGTCTCATACAGTTGACATGTTTTGAGTACAGCTATGGAAACAGGTTATCTACTGTATTTTAAGAGTGATCGAAAACATAAATTATTTATTTAACAAAGTGGTTTCTAAGCTTTTTTATATCTCAATTTGCAGACAATGAAAAATTTGGGGTATTGCTAGAACTAAAATCTTTTTTCAATGTGTAATTCATGTTGTTTTTTTTTTAAATTATCATCAGATGTGTTTATATTTTATAATGAAGAAAATTATAAATAATGAAACAACTGATTTTATTAAAAAATAGCCCCCAAGAAATTCACAGACTATAAACATATACATATAAATAGTTTCATGTAGATGAAGCTCCTTCTTTGTGAACAATGATGCCTTTCTGTATCAAATCTGGAATTTCAACAGCTAACCATGGTCCCAACTGAAATAAGAAAATCAACAAGTCAATTTAAATTTTTTATTAACGATAAATGTTAAATGCATTTAGAACATTACTATAAAACCATTTTAATAATTTTGTATCATATTTTAAAATAACGCCGCTAATAAAATAAATAAAGTAAAATAAAAAACTTAATATAACTAATAAGATTTAAAAGCACACTTAGAAAGACAAAAATAGTCAAATATTCCTTAGCCGCAAATTAACTTGGGCCCTCATTGGACCACTATTCATTAATTTTGGTTCATTAAGGGTTCAAAGGGCTGTTATTTTTCTGATATTGGCCCTATATAGAATTCTCCGACTCACCCTATGTTTTACAGCCACTTTACAACCAACATCGACCCTATATAGAATAGTCTGATTCACCCTATGTTTTTTTTTATTTTATTTTATTTTATAACCGTCGTTGAACAGCCGACCCAATTTCATGGGTTTACGACTACTTACGTTCAACTCCGTAGCCTTGTAATTTTGAACCAATCCAGAAGACAAGGAAACTCCTGGATCAGTACCCCCAGAGGTATTGATTTGTTGTGGGAACATGGAGGACTTTGAGACTCGACAGATTTAACGTGCATCAGTCACCATTTACTACACGGGGAGTCTTCGGCCGGCGAGGATCGAACCCACGACCTCTTGGATATGGGCCCAGCACCCTACCGACCAGGCTATCCCGGCCCCTCACCCTATGTTTTAAAGCCACTTTACAACCAATATCGGCCCTATATAGAATTGTCTGATTTAACCTATGTTTTACAACCACTTTACAACCAGTATCGGCCCTATATAGAATTGTCCGAATTACTATGTTTTACAGTCACTTTACAACCAATATCGGCCCTATATAGAATTGTCAGATTAACCTGAACTTTTATATTCATTATTCAGCCAATATAGGCCCTACATTGGTTTATATAAGCCATTTTAGGACCAATATTAAAGAAACTAGGTATCCCAATATTGGTCTCTCGGTACATGTTCTTATAGGACTCACTTTGAGCTCAATTGGGGCTAAGGTAAAATTGTTGCCAAGGTTATTAGATTTAGATTAATGAATTTTTTAGAATCCTTTTCTAACATCTGTAAAAACATAAAATATTTTTCGTGTAAGTATATAGATAGGGAAAAAACTAAAGCAATATCTTTAAAAATATTTTTACATCATTCAGAACTTATTATGTACAAATAAAGGGGGGAAATGTAAATACAACAGAAATTGATAAATGCAACTTACTCCTAAGGCCATCGCATGAGCTATTCCGAATTTAGGAACATTTCTTCCCCAAAGTGGTTTGAAATGATCAGTTAAACATATTTTACCACCTCTAAAAAAAGAGATAAAAGAAACAGTGATACATTTGGCATGAAAATTAATAATGATTTTGAGAATTCAGATGATAGAAAAGTGTATAAAAATTATGACTAAGTTTAAACCCATCAAAATAACAGCAAAAATTAAACTGGGTCATCACAATTTTAACATTTTATCTGATTTAATTCAAACTAACATTCCTGAATTTCATATTTTGTTCCTTGAAATTTATTAAAATATTTGTAAAAAAGAAAAAAATAATATTGACTCTTTCTTATATTAACCTCTAATACAGTAAATTGTAAAAATAAAAATTCTACTACTTAAATAAATTTTATGATATTGATCATTACAAAATAGCATTCATTTACTAAAACTTACAAGTCTATATTTTATAAAATGATATTTATTAAGATCAAGGGTTCTAAAAGAAGTGGACTCACCCAAATAAATAAATTTTTACTACAAAATTTAGTTTTTAGAAAATTTTAGAAAAGATTTGTTTTTACAAAAAGAATCAAATGTTATTGGATATTTGCTATTAAAGAGTCCTTTCTCTCACATTTGTTTCCTTTTATTAATTTTTTCTCTTGATAAATCTTTGATGATAGAGTATTATTCTATGACACAATAGCTTTAACAAACAATAAATTGCTAACAAAAAATTACCTATCCTCATTTTATTGCGAAGGAAGAAATGGCACATAGTATTTTAAAACTTTTTCAGTATTTTCTCCACAAAATAAGAATAAAATTAAACTCTACCAAAAGTAGTGTCAAATGGTCTTTTCTTGGTCTTGAAAATGGCTCTTTCAAAAACAAAACAAAATGGCATAACAATCAATTTTTTAAAAATATAAAAACTAATAACATTAAATTATCTCCCTGAAAATTTTAGCTAAAAGTCTAATTTTTTTTTTTTTTATCAACCAGAAAAAGTTACAAGTCTAAGTCAAGGTCCATCATTTGGAAAAACCACTTTTTATGCATTCATCTAATAGTTTAGGATTTCTGTGACTTGTTTACCCATTCACAAAGTACTTCAACTTTCAACATAAACATTTCATTGTATTCTTAACTTTTTTTTACTTCACCTTTCATACTTTTTTTTAATATACAGAACTTTGAAACACAAATCTGAGTCCCTACTAAAGATTATAAAGATCAGAATTTTCTTTTCAGTTAAATACAAAATGAACTAACTGTTATACTAAATAAAGCAATTAAGATGAAGACTAATAGAAAACACATCCAGGCTTAACAGTGCAATGAAAAAAAATCAGGATATTTTTTGGAACAGTAGACATAAACCAGACTACTTTTAAGAAAGACAAGCAACAAAATAAAAAGTATAATTTTCTCTATTAAAGGCTAATTTTATTGCCAAAGAATAATAAAATATATTTTCAATTTCAGAATTACTTAGTGTAGAACAAATTTTTAACAGTTTCTTATACCATTTTATTAAAGGAGCACACTGATCAGTAGTTTCAATAATCTTGAGACAAAAAAAAAAAAAAAAAAAAAACAGTTAATATGATCCTTAACAGTTTTATGCAAAAGTAATTTACTTGATGATCCATTAACTTGACATTTCAATATTCTATGATATGATTATTGCATCATTGATTAAATTTAATAATTTTTCAAATTAGATAAGGAAGAAAATGAATCCATAGTTTAAACCAAATTTCACTCTGCATTTATTCATTTACTGAGAATAATAAATGACCTGTGACATCCCCATTCATCACCATAAAAATGAAGTTGATTCATTCATCACCATAAAATAAAAAGCTGTTGGAAAGAAAATCTAAATCATTGAAAATTTCAAATCAATAATTTTAATATCTGCATTTGTATTTGCCAAAAATGTTGAGTTCCATTGACATATATAAATCAGGAACACCAGAACAAAAAGCTAAGAATCAGGACAAAATATTTTTCAATTTATTGTTTAAAATTTATTCCTTACTACAGAGGCTAATACAATGTAATAGGTACATATTTTTATAAAACAAAATAAATAAAAAAATAAAATCTGAAACCAAAATTTTCATTAGAACATTATTCATTCAATTCTATCTTTTAGTAATTTTAAGTGGATCACAAAATCATAAAAGAAAGACTCTCATAGGCAAATTTTTTTTCAGATGCAGTTATGCAAACAAAAATTTAATAAAATGGCACCAAATAAATTTTTAAAATATTATACTTTTTTTTGAACTGCCTTACATCTTCATTTAAAATAAGAATTATTTTGATTTAGACATTATCGTTAAGACCGATTCACAGGAAATTGCTTAAAAACTATTCACATCATGATTGAAGAAATCAGTTGCATAGTTATTTACAGTATCTATAAAGAAATTTTAAAGAATATGACAACATCTCTTTAATATCTGTATTTAAAAGTTTAAAAGCCATCCACAGCTTTAAAACAGTAACTAAAAATTTATATATGCATTTTCTTTACTTCAAAAACTTAAATTCATAAATTGCAAGTCTGTTAATTCCCAACAATATTTCAAATTAAAACACTATAAACAAATGAAGAAAAAAATATACATAAAAAAATTCTTATGAAAATATGAAATCATTATGCACAGTGGAATATTTATAAAAAATATTATGAAAAATCTTGCTTCACTTTTTCTATCCTCCATTTTAAACTACACAAGAAAAATATTTTGTTACTTGAAATCTTAATCTTGTCTTTAGAACTTGATAAACATAGTAAGTTTATCTGTACACTTAGAAAGTTAAAAAGGAAAATACTCTCATTAATTTTAACTAGAATTCTTGAAAATTTTTTTTGAATTAAGTTAAGAGAAAAATAGCATTTTCAACTGTTTCTTGGAAATTGTATTTTTGATATTTATTATTTTATTTAATTACAGTAGAAGCAAACAGTATACAAAAGTAGACTAGAAAGCTATATTTTTTAAATTATTTACAGTTCCCAACTTTTTTTTAACCCTTAAAAAACTTTTCAACAACAATTTTAATGGGCTAATTTGATTGAACTTTACAAAGCCATAATAGTGCTCTATGTTTCATTTATTTACTTTATTTTTAAAAAAGGTATATTATTAAAACATACGTCAGAGATATATCATTTGTTAACTAGGAAATATGTGATCATACAAGTAAAATATATAAATTCATTATCATAAAAAAATAACTCTTAGCAAGCAAAAAAAATATGGAATTTGAATTTTAAATAAAAAAAAAAAATTGCCATATTCGAATACACATTGACTAGCTTGTATTTATTAAGTACGGCATAGATGTGTGCCCCATAGATTTTTGTATTACCTATACATTTTTGCAGTTTTTCCATCCAGCTCAGGAATTGCTATTTCAGGAGCAGTAGTTGGATATGTTACTGGAATCTAAATATAAAAATTTAATTGTAAATAACATTTACTAAATCAATAACTTTCAAATAGAATAGGCAAGAAAATTATATGAGTTTTAAAAACTAAGCTAAATCTTTGATTTTTATAGATGCTCAATATTTAATTGTAAAGAAACTTAGATTCAGTTTAAATTAATTTGATAATCAATTGTATTTTTAGTAAGATAAGAATTTTTTTTTTTATTCATAAGAGGAAGGAAAAAAAAAAAAGGATAGTTAAATTTTAAAAGATAAATCAAAAGTCAATTACGAAAAGAATTTTTTTTTCACATGTAGCCTTTTTAGAGTCTAAACAACTATTTTTTAATAAGCACTCTTATTTATGAATACTTTCTTTGATCACTTAAGTCATTAGTGATAAATAAAAAAACTATTTGAACTTAAAAACAGATTTTTTTACATCAGGAAAAAAAAAATTTTTTTTTTTTAAAGACAAGCAATAACCATTCTACACACACTATCTATATAAATATAATCATACTACTACTTTTCAATACAAAATTTGACCTGAAAATTATTTATTTAAATAAATTTACTATTTTTACAATATCAGTCAAAACAGAAATTATGAAATATGCAATTTCTAAAAATAATAAGGTTGTAGCAACATTTCATTTAAAGTGTTCCATCTTACAGTAACATTTTATTCAAAGTGTTAGAAATATCAAGGAAATTATCTATTCTGAGATTGTTACTCTGTTTGTATAACGTAAAAATAAATAATAAAAAGAAACATTGCTATTCATAATAAATTAAGACATTTCTAATAAAAATGAAAAACTTCAATCAAAATCAAGTAGAAGGACAAAAATATAAACATCTTACATCAAACTCAATGGCAAACTCATACTTCATCAATTCATGAATATGCCAACATTTTCCAAACCACTGTGTTCCATCTTTGTTTGATTCTAATCTGAACCAATCATTATCATTGTCTTTGTTATTTTGTACATACTAGAATAAAAAATATAGGTATAATAAGCAAAGTATAAATTGAATAATAATCATAAAAAATAGCAAAATCTACATTTTTTGTCAGTATACTAAAATTAAATTACTAAATTGAATATAGTTTTTTTCTTATTAAACTAAATTATATGTAATTATACAGAGACCACCACTATTGCTGGATTAGATAAATAAATTATCAAATAATAAAAAATCATAATCATACCAATACATTTAAAACAATCCTTTAATTAAAAGATTATGTGAAGTAAAATATTTTAATTCAAATTTAATTAGATTCTTTAGTTTTTACATACGATAAATCGAATCTGATTATTAGACAAACTTTTAATTTGTTCCATTTATCTCGTTTTTCTTTCAGAATTAAAAATATTGATAAAAGATTTATTACTATTAAATAAAGAGTAATAATATCAGTTGAAAACTATGAGCTGCATTGTTCAAAGAGTCGGTTGTCAGAAGATTGTTAACATTTTAAAAGATTGAGCAATTTAAAACATGCCTCACAGGCTAGGGGTATTTGAGAAACTAAAATAAATAACAGGTATACTTGGAAGGTATAATTAGTGGCCACCGCTATCGGCGTCGCCAGACAAAATATATTGGGGGATGGACTACCTTATAGTGCTATTAAACATACATATACGTTTTTTCTGCAAAATATGCTTTTGTAAAAAAATGCAAAGGAAACTAGCCATTTGTTTTAATGAAACTGAAAGCTTTAAATCTATTGAATTAGCTCAATATTTTTGGTTTTTTATATATAATAAATAATTTTACATAATATTTTCTTTTATGTAAAAAACATAATTATTTTTTATGGAAAATAAAACAGAAATAATTTTTTTCTCAAAATTTTGGGTTTCGACTTCCCAAATATTGAGGAGATCTGGACCCCCCTGATTCATGACCACATATAGATAAATTTTCAATTACAAAACACATTTTGGTGTCTTGGTAATGACAGTAGAATAAAAGCAGATATGGAATTAATCTCAATAATTAGGTAATTATATACCTTTAAATGAATAAAAGAATTATACTATTTTTTGGAGAATAAAATGAAATGTTTTAAAAAATAGAAATTAGTAGGTACATTACAACCACTGAAAAGGAGTAAGGAAAATTTCTGTGGCAGAATAACCACCGAGTTTCGGCAACTTCCGGGCAGAGGCAACGAAAAACTGGAAAAAAAATTCACAGAAAGGGAACAATCTGATGGGTGTAACTCGTAACAGGAAGATTTTCGTATTGTGATTTGCAGCAGAACAATCGCAAAGTCCTTGCAACTTCCGTGCAGCGGCCCGAGAGAAACTAAAAAAAAACATAAGGACCAACTCGGAAGGTATAACTCGTAGCCACCCACAAGCAAACATCCATATGTTTATTTTTAAAAAAACTTGCAAGTTTAAAATTTATTTGGCACCCAGGCGATTGCAGTTGGCCGAAATAACCCCCTCGTAACCATCCCCATGCAAACCTCTATATGTTTTGTTTTGTCTTAAATTTCCCGTTTAAAATCACCATCAAAATCACCTTGGCGATTGTAGTTGGCGTGGAAGATCACGATACAGAAGTATCCTCAAGTAGCTTTCCAGACTGTCAATATTTATATTGCAAGCAAAAAATATGTGCGAATTGGTACTAAGTTTCACCGAATTGGTTTTAGTTGAAAATTAAGTACAACACTCTAATGCTCAGAAAGAAAAATTAAAGCAAAAACAGCTCACTTGAATTAGTGCTTGATATTCCTCTTTTAAACGAATAGGCCACAATTCTTTGTCCCGTGGACCAGCTTTAGTTTTTAAAAGAGGAATTTTACTCAAAGTTTTTCTAGTGCCATCGTCCACCATACTTACGATCTGTAATACAAAATAATAACATCACTTCAAGAGATTGTTTTTAAAAATAAAAAAAAGAAATGCATAATTTCATACTAACAAACAATAATAGTTATACAAGTTAAGCAAATTGAAAATTAATATTAAATCTATTTCAAAACCAAGGAAATGTATTTCGTCTGTCAACGGGGCTTTAAATAACAGTACAGTTACAGTTGAATTACAATGACAAAATTTTTATTTAATAACTGTAGAATTTTTGTTTGTAGAATACCTCAATAATTTATTAAATGGATAAATTTTCAATAAAAAAAATAGAGATTCTATCTAATTATTCAAGATTTGAATATGTTTTGAATGACTGAAATAAACTTATAAAATAAAAGGTGGCATCATAACTTTGTCATCAAGGATCAAGGTGATTTTACAAGATCGGTGTTAGCTAAGTAGCTGAAACTGAAAGTTTTCAAAATGATTCCTGTACGTTCATTAATTGCAAATAAAAGTAAGTATTCCTGTAAAAAAACCACAGTATCTGTTTTTCCTAATTGTGCTTGTTACTTTAGTTTCTTTTTTTATGTTTTATCTTTGTAATTGCATGCTCTTGTTTATATGAGCTGCACATTATTAAATTGCTTATAAATTTAATATTAATTTTTATTTATTGAGTATCAATATGCCTCATACTCTCCTATACGTTTTTTTATTAATTTTCAAATAAATCCGAAATTTATTTCTGTACTGTATCTAAAATTATTTTGACATCTAAGTATTAATTGCAAGCATTATATTTGTGTTATCTTCTAGGTTTTGTCAATGCAGTTGCTGTTCGTATGCTTGGGCCTAAAAGGTAAGAAACTTGTGTTTTTGGTATTCTGTGTAACATTTCATTTTATCTTTCAGGTTTAAAATCTGGCCTGGCATAATTGTTTGTAGGACTTTAATTACTAGAAACTGAAGTCAATCAATTTAAGATTTCCTATTTGCCCGCGAAAAACTTTAGAAAAAAAATCACTTTCAGAGGAGGATACCAACTCTAAAGGGTATATATCCCCTGAAAAATCTTATTGTTTAGCAACCTACCTTTCACTTTGAATCACAATCACCCTGATTATATTTTATTACTATTTTCTCTAAATTTTTGTGTTGATTTTAAACTTCTAAAAAATCTAGCCATCAACAGAATAGCTTTCGAATGTTGTGGAGAGAGCTTCAGAATGTTGAGAAGAGAGCTTTAGACAATGTTTTTTTTTTTTTTTTTTTTTTTTTTTTTTTTTTTAACTAAGGCTTGGTTTCTTAGGATAAATGTCCTGGCTTGGCATGAATATTTGGCCAACACCCCAGGTTGATTAAAGAAAAATTATTTCGTTAGGTCCTCCCCTTTGAGCGTTAGCAGAAGTTCTGAGAAACAAAATACAAGGAAAGAAAGAAAAATAGTTTTCTTGTACATAATCGAATACTCTTTTCTTATGTTTTGTTTTTTCTAAAAAAAATTTCAATATAAAATATGAGTATGAGTACTTGATTACGTGCAAGTTATATATATATTTTTAATGTCTTTAAAGAGAAAAATTGACAAAAAATATATTTTCCTTTTCAAATTACAAATAGTAATTTAAAGAAATGACTTAAAGGATTCATTTTCTATCAATTATTATGTATATTTCTTAAAATAATGCTTAAATTTATTTTAATATAAAAAATTAAAAAATACAATATTGAAATAAGTAATCACCAGTAATCTCAAGTAGAGATTTCATTTCTTATTCATAAATAATGAAATAAAAATTATGTACTAATTTTTATGAAACATAACTACAACTCATAAATAATTTATTATAATATTTGTTTACAAATATTATTAGTAAACATTTCCAGTAACTAAAAAACAGCTAAATATATTTAATTATGCAGATTTTCGTATTTGTTAAAAAGATAATTTGCTTAATTTCATTAAAAAATGTTGATCAATGACATCAAATCGGCGGATAAAATTTAGTATCAATAAAAAAATTTCTTTGCTGATATAATTATCTGTAAAGATAAATAAACCAACTATGAATGATAGTACTATTTTTAAATAAATAAAAATATTATGTTTTAAGTTTGCATTTAGTTTCATATCGTAAAAACAGAGTTCTCTCTAGAAATAAAAAGGGGCAGAGTGCTTCCTCACAGAAAATGGGTACTTTGAGTTTCGAAAGGGCACTCACATAACACTGTAAAAATTTATCAAACTGTGTAATATTATGTAATAATTGAATTTAACCTCAGCAATTTTTAAAACCCTTTGTGCCCTTTTATACTATTCTATGTATTTCAAAAAGTAATTCTTAACACATCAAAACATGAAAAAAATTGTTGTTTGTTTAAAATAATTGAAAGCATGCTAAAAGACAATCTCGGAGCATAATTTTTTTTTCAAAAAAAGTAAACTTAAAAAATTATTAATTGATAAACAACTTGAAAGCTTTTTTATATATTTTGAAACTGAAAATTATGAAAAAAATGAGCATTTAAAGGTGCATTTAAAAAAAAAAGTAATTTTTTTATTTAAAATCACTTTAAAAAAAATTATTTTATCATACAAGGGGGAAGGGCTCGAAAAAAAAGAAACTTGTAAAAATTTAACCAGTTGAAAATTATCTTAACAAAGCAAATATTTGTAATGGTAATCAGAATTAAACCGATAAACACAGATCATTTTTCCAGTGCGTAATTATTAAGCAGCTTGAGATGCTTAGTTTCTTCTAAACAAACTTTTTGTTCCTACTTTCTTTCACTTTCAACTCTAAAAATAAATCATTGATAGCATTCTCTTTAGTGCACTCTGACTACAACATGAGGTTGTTGATCATTTTCAGAGATAGCCAAAAAGAGTTCTACAAATAAGAGCAACTGTCAGATATTTTGAATACATTTGAAACTACTTAATTATTTTGTTAATATTATTTGGTATGATATTTTTTTGTGTTTCCTTATTTGACCTTTTCCGCATTTGGTGTAGAGGTTTGCCCAGTCGCTGGGGGAGATATTGATGGTCTCTGCTAAAGGTTTTTTCATTATAAAATCTATGGAAAAAATTCCATGCTTCTCAAAGGTGGTCGTAAATAGAGAAGGTCGGTACGCAGAGATGGTCTTTCCAGAAGTTTCACTCTACATTTATCTGTTAACCAATGTATGAATTACAAATTTGATCATATTAATAATTAATTTAAATCGCAATAATAAGACATACAAGAATCACTGAGTTAATGTACGAGTTTGTTTTAATTACAAACATTTTCCCTCATTAAATTTAGGTAGGTAGCTCACTAGGTTAGTAGGTCAGAGACTAGTGAGGTTGACTCCAAGCTACCTGAACTAGTCCTAACAAATCTTCTCTTTGGGGAAGTAAAAACCATTGTTTTTATTTGTACTTCAGAAGTCTGTCTAAGACTTTGCAGACCCTCACGCCTTTAATTGTTTAACCGTTAAGATAATTGCCATTTTCTTACCAAGTTTTTTATTTTAGCTTCTATCGAGCAGAGAGTACGGTCCCTACTACTTATGCTGAACAGCGTGCTCACCTTGAAAAATTGTTGACGGAGGAGTTGCCGAAACCGTATGATGGACCTGAACGAGATCTTGTAAATTTCCCTAAACGTAAAAGAGCTATTGATATTGGAAAAGTCAGAATGGGTTTTCTTCCAGATGAATGGTTTACTGTACGTAAATTTGTTCTGTATTTTTATAAGTCTTTCAAGTATACTAATTGCTGTTATTATGCTTAATATTGTTAGTGTATTGTTTCTGTTACATTTATTGTTGTTTTATCTGTCAATGTTGAATCTTAGAGGCAAAGTGTAAAAAACTTATTATTAAAAAAATGTGACTAAGATATTAGAGATTTAAATTTGTTAGATAACTATTGATAAGTCATGAGATTATAATTCTTTTTTTTATGAATGCATATAGTTTTATCTCAGTTGACTAATACCTAATAAAATGATGAATATTTTGGCAAATATCCTTTATTTTATTCTCACCCTTTTAAGGAAAAATATTTAGATTTGTAATAATTTTATTGAAATTGTGCCAAAATAAATATGTGTTCAGTATTTGCATTATCATAATTAAATGTGCCATTCCAAATTATTTTACTTATTACATGATGGTATAAAATATTCATGCTTTTCAACTAAAAACTTAAAAGCTTTTTAATTAAAAAAATCTCATAATGTTGTCGTATTGCTTGTCCGAATTGAATGACCAAAAACCATTTTTGACAAATCACTCATAGGAAGACATCAGTTAATATTTTTCCAGGTCATCAATTGTAGTAATAAATAATTTCTAAGAAAGAATAAAATTATTTTATCTACTGGTTTGCAAAATGAATTATTACAAAAAAAATATCATGAAAATTTTAGTCACTATTAAATTTAAAAGTTTGTCATGAAGTTTCATTTTGTCAGTTACTAAATTGTACAATTTTTTACATTTCTTAAAATTAATAAATCAAATTGTAATCTTTTAAAAGTATTAAGTATCTTTTATAAACACATAATTTTTTATTATTTAGAAACTGTATTGTGTTATTATTAAAAGAACAGATCGCAGTTGTTTAAGATTAATTTCTCAATAGAAATGTTGTTTTCTTATAGTTCTTTTACAAGAAAACTGGTGTAACTGGACCTTATGTTTTCGGCACTGGATTGTTGACATTTCTTTTGTCTAAAGAATTTTACGTCATTGAAGATGAATTTTCTACTGGTTTATCAATCTTCATTCTGTTTTACATTGCTCTAAAGAAATTTGGTCCTAGTGTAAGCGCTTTTGCTGAAAAATGTGTTCAGGTAAAATACTTTATTTTGTTTAATGAATTTTTTTAATTATGTACTTGCTTTGCCTTATCTTTTATGTTATGTTGCATTGATGTTAAATTAATTAGAACTTAAAGTAATAAAATTATTTATTTAAAGTAATTGTGACTGCTTCTGCTTTAAATAATTGAAATATTCAGACTACAAATGGACATCAATTTTCACTTATTAACTTTAAAAAATCAAGTTTACATATTTTCATACTTCTGCATTCCATTTTTGCTCAAATAACATAGCATTTTCCTATAATTGAAATGTAAAATATGATAGTCATCTAGATTGATCATAACAACAAAAAAAGCAGGTTAAAAGATGAAAATTATAATTATCAGATTGTTTTTACCGAAGCCAATGACACTAATTTCACACGTAATTGCTTAAGTGCATGTGTAAAATAATAAATTTGAAATTTACTTTGTTTTTAAATAAAAGAAAAAAAAGTGTTTGGAAAAAGGAAGTTCAAACAATCAATGTTCCACTTTTTTTTAATAATTTCCAAAAAAAAAAGTTTCAAAAATGCCCCACACAATGTTAGTTTTTCACTATAAATGTGATGCTTAAAAAATTAAACAGGCTAGTTTAGGCATCTATATTGAATGTTTTTTTTTTTTTGTTTGTGTCTCAAATTTATAAATTTAACTTTAAAAGATTTAGCTTGTAATGTATTTTCCTTCCTAATTTAGAAATGAGGTCCACTTTTTTTTTTTGTCTTTATAAACCATAATTAATTCTTTGTGTATCAAATGTTACGGAAAAAATTCTGAAAAATTCCAATCCTATTGTACTTTGTGTACCTTCTTATTTTCACTATTGACTATTTCACCATTTGTTATTTATTTTTAAAAAAATGAGTTTATTTATTTCAATTATTAATGGTAAAATATAAGTATTATTTTTATTGAAAAATTAAAACATTTTAGAATCTTTGTTTTCCAAGTGACGAGATTGAAAGATGTAGAAATATTTTCGGTTGTCATAGAAGCTTATTATGAGAGTGTTGAGCCCTTTTTTTTATGTTTTAAGTCTATCAACAACAAAAAAAATCTGTTTTCAAACCTACAAAAAAGTAGATAATTTTTAAAACTTTATTTTTTTCCTTATTAATTTTTGCATCAGTTAATGTCTGAAATATGTTGAAATTTTTATTAATAATTTTTTGCCAGCACCATTTAGGAAACAATTGTTACTTGTACTTGTATTATCTTCCCCAGAGCATCTGTTTAAATTTGAGTAGGCTTAATAGCAAAAGAGTGGTTATTATTTTCTTTTTGGTTTTGTGTCTTATTTATATGGGAATATTTCTAAATTTTCATCGATTATGAATTTTTCCTACCACCTTTTAAGAAACAATTGTTACTTGTATTGGTATCCACAGAGCTCCTGTTTAAATTTGAATATACCAGATCGTAAGAAAGTGATTGTTTTTTTTTATATAGTTTTGTGTCTGTTTATGTGTTATATGTGAAAATTTCCATTGATTTTGTTAGCAGCATTTAAGAAACAATTGTTACTTGTATTGCCTCTCCCAGAGCTCCAGTTTAAATTTGAGTAGACTTAATAGTAAGAAAGTAGTTATTTTTTTCTTTCTGGTTTTGTATCTTTTTATGTGGGAGTATTTCTAAATTTCTGATGATAATAAATTTTTACTACCTCCATTTAGCAAACAATTGTTACTTGTATTGGCATTAACAGATCTCCGATTTAATCAAACTTGATAGATTAAATTTGATTGATTGTTAAGTGAGGTGTGCTTGTGGCATGTGCTTATTTTTATAGTTTGTTTATTTTTTTCTCCTAAGGAAGAAGAAGATAAGTTCGAGAATGAAAAAAAGAAAGCTATGGATGATCTTGTGCAGTCAATTGAAGGCACTAAGAAGGGTGTTTGGCAAATGGAAGGACAGAAGATCCTGATGAACTCTAAACGAGTATGTAACAATTTCTTTCTTTCATTTTTTTGCTTTTATTATTATAGTGTATTATAGTATAAAGTATTATTATTATAGTATAAAGTCCCATATTCAAAGTGGTTTAAAACTTTGGCAAGTCCAAAAAATAGATTTTTCCATATAATAGATCTTACATTAAACATAGCATACGTAAATCAATAAAAAATAACTGATAATTTCTATCAATTTTCGTTCAATAACACATATCTGCCAGGTCTCCTGCTTTTTAAGAAAGACCCTTGTATTTTATGACTGTTTCCTGTTTACCCGTATATTCTCAAATTTCTTTGTATTTGTTGGAAGAAATTTAAAAAAAAAAAAAAAATTAACGATAAAATATCAGCTAATGGCAAAAATACTTCTCTTTTCTTTAAAAATACTTCCCTGTATTGCAGTATGTAGAGTGTTTATTGTTTAAGTAATTATAAATAATGGTTCAATTCATATTTTTTACTTCGCTAAATGTAAGTGCTCGTATTATTTCCAATTTTGTCTTGAATGATGTATCAAAACTTAACATGTTGCTTGTAAATCTTTGTCTTTTTTATTTTATTTCTCCAATGTTGACAGGTATGATAACATTTGATTATTGGTTAAATGACATTTATTTAACCAACTTCATTTAATTTCTCTTTCATAAAAAAAAAAGGCACATTTTTCTTCATTTTATTTTTCTATTTCAATCTAGTGTAGAGAATTACCAGTGTAGATAATCAGATAAAATGCCTATAAAAAGGGGCTTCAAATTGGAAAGGAAAATCAATTCTATTCAATAAAATAAATAAAAAACGTAATTTTAAACAGGAATGGAATTAAGTAGGTTTTTTGAATGAAAACATTTATAGTTAAACTAAAACAAGTCCCATCCTATTTAAACTTGCTTAACAAAGCAGCATACATGTTTAGCTATCCTAAAGGCAAGAAGATAAATAAGAAATAAAAAAGTGATTTTTTTTAAGGGGGGGGGAAGAAAAAAATTGTTTATTGAATATCTGGTAAACAAATTCCAGTCATAGGATGGAAACTACTCAGATTGTAGTTTCAGATAGTTTGGTGGGTTTAGTTTTTGCATGCCTCGACTTGGCCTAGGTTTAATTTTCTTTACTAATATCTGGGTGTTAGATCAGATTTCACGCTCTCAGATTGTGTGTTAAAGGTTTGGAATCCACTCTAATGTAATGTTTTGTCTATAATGGTTTGAAAGCCCAAAAAGTTAATTTATTTTTACTCACAGTGTTATCCAAAAGAAATGTTTTTAGAGAGTAATTTTACTTTTCGATTAATTTTTGAGAAAATAAGTTTAAAATTGAAGAGGGAATTTCAAAATAGATATTGAATTTGTAAGTTACCACTGTTTACACAGATTATTTTATAACTGACATATTACTTAAGCAAAGTAAGCCCTATAGAAATTGAATGGATATTTTATCTAAAACATTATTCCACATTATTTTTTAGGTTTTTAACACTATATATCTGCTGGTTTAGTAAAGTAAGGTTTCTAAAAGAAAGAAAAAATTTATTAATAAAATATATTGCATTAAAATTCTATAGTACGTCCAAAATTAATACCTTCATTGCTGGCGTCACCTTCCCAAGGCAAACTGAAAAGGTCAATTCAAATGCTTATTCTACAGCATAGCTCATATTTTTTATTTTTTGTTGCAAACCCTTTTTCCTTAGTAGTTCCAGTGATTATATTCGCAGTAATGAGCAATAACAACCAATTTCCTGAATTTAAGATTCACCTTTTCTACATTCCTTATTGATTTATTTGCAGAAGTCTTTCATCCTCATGCGTTTTTGAAGAAAAATTAAATCTAATGACTTTTGAAGGGGTATTCTTTTTAAACAGCATGGATAAAAAGAAACCTAATAGTTTTACAAAAATTGTACAGGGAGTATTTCTATTCCCTGTCAAACGTTTGAGAAATAAAATTCAAATTTGATGTGTGAAATATGCATAGTCTTGATGCATATTGGTTTTGCAGTTACTACCAGGTTTTAAAGCTTTTTTTTTTTCTTTTCTTAAAAATCTACTTGAATGGGTTTTTTAAAATGTTGCCCAGTTTTAATACTTTTTGGGTTTAATTCAAAAGAGTGCAATTTAAGTTGAAAATAATTTTTCGTAAGAAAATAATTAAATAATGAATTAAAATTTTAAAAAAAATGTCTTTAATTTTAATGCAGTACCATTTTTTCATGCTAGTATTAATAAAAGGCTCTTAAATTAATTCCTTCTGTGACTAGAAATAAAATCATTGTATTGGTGTCAAAAAAATATTCTGTTTTATTTGTATATTCTGATACTAAAGTAATAGTTTATTATTTTTTTTATTTTATTTTTTTTTGGTTAAAATAAAGTAAGCTTTTTACAAGCCAACTAATTACATAACTATGTTTATTTAACAATTTTCTTAATGGTTTTTTGAATTGCTGTTTAATGTAGACTTATATTAAATAAAATGTGTAATTTAACTTTATATTATTCAGTATTTTATTATGGTTTGAAATTTAATGAATTTTTTATATTTAAATCATTATTTTTGTATCATTAAAATGCAGCTTTTATATTTTACAAAACAAAAATATTCTTTTAAAAAGAATTTAAAAATTCAATTTTTAATATTTTGTTACAATACTTGTTGTCTGCTTATTTTACTCATATTTGAAAACTTATTTATTAAGAGATAGAAGAAAGACAAAGTTATTCCAGCCTGTACTCTGCATCTGTTCAGTTCAAAATAAATAGCATTAAAAAAGCTTAAATTATAGCTTAAAAAAAGATTTTTCTTAATGTTGAAGCAAGAAAAATTCTTATAATAAATCATGCATACACATATATCAAAGTACACTAAGTTTTGAAAGTAAACTTATGTATATTTGTATACTATGTATTACTCTTTAATAAAAAATAATGATAAAAAGTTGAATAAAAAATAACGATATAAAGCAGATTTTGATTATTTTTATTAAAAAATAAAACCAGTTGATCCCAGGTTTTTTTAAATATCCACACTGTTTTTTTTTTGTGGGTGATCGAAAACCCTAGTTACCACCGTATGCCTTCTAATCTAAATTGTAGTAGGGTATAGTCACTAAGGATAAATCCCCATATGTCACATTCACTCTTGTTAAGCTCTAGTGTATTAACAATAAGACTGTAATGTATAGGTAAAAAATTACTATTTAATTTGTATTATGAGATTCTCAATTTGCTGTTAATTCTTTTGTATCTTAAATTCTGATTTCATTCCTTGATATGTTTTTTTCTTAGGAAAATGTGCAAATGCAATTGGAAACAGAATATCGACGACGGTTGATGCATGTCTTTGAGCAAGTTAAAAGACGATTGGCAAGTTTTAATTTGTATTTTTTTACCTTTAAATTTTTATTTTCTACTTTGTATTTCCAGAGATCAAATAATCTAATTTAATGGTATCTTAGAAATTTGCAATTCTTGTATACTTTTGCACGTATAACTTGTCTTAAATATTCTAAAGTCCTATGCTGTGTCATCAAAAAATTAAAAGCAATCCATGTCATTGCTAAAATTGGTTAGAGTAAATTTATGAAAGACACGTAATGTTGCTAATAGTGTTAATAAAATATTGCTAGATTTAATTACATTATTAAATTAATTATTATGTGGTTTTTCTTACTCAAACTTTTTTAAGTCAGTATCAGTCAATTAAACATTAGTTATTATCTTTGAAGTAAGTTACAATTTATTTTTATTTATGTCTTTCTTTTATACCCTTTCTTTAGTTGAGCTCCAGACAAGAATCTATCTCAGATTCTATATCATAATGGCGAATTTTGTCTAGTAAACAGAAAAAAAAAATAATTTTCTGTAAATTTTATTTATTCTTTTTATAAAAATTTTGTAATCCCTGATTTAAAATCCTAAAATATTTTTTTATATAAAGTTAGCACTAAAATCAATCTAAGATTTTAATTTACTAAATATCTATAAACATAAATTTTGGCAATGTTTTAATAGAAAATATATACCATTGTGATTTTCTGTTTCTATTTTTAGGATTATCAATTGGAGCTTGTCAACACTCGTAGGAAACTTGAACAGAAGCACATGGTGGACTGGATTGTAAATAGTGTTGTTAAGAGCATTACACCTCAACAAGTAATAATATTCTTGAGAAAATTATATAATTTTATAAATTTGGTATCAGAATATCTGCAAATATCTAATGATATATTACAATATTCTGCTAATATAACTAATTTTTGTAATTTATTGGTTAACAATCAGGGCTGATTGTGCTCCGGAAAAAATCCGGATTTCCGGAATTTTCGCTAACAGTGATCCGGAAGTTTCCGGAGATCGAAGGTCCAGATGTTTCAAAAAATCATTGATCACAGAAGTTTCTGGAAATCAAATTTTCAAAGGTGGAACTTAAAATCACAATTTATTTTATTTGTTTGTAAGGGAGAGCCAATGAGATACTTTATAGGCTTATATTCATGATTAATATTCATTTTTTATCAGTAAATAGTTGTTATAATCATAAACTCAAGAAAGAAAGACATGTTTGTAAATTTTAATTACTTCTCCAGATCATCATTGGTATGTGTAAATGGTATAGGTATGTGTAAAATTTTAAATATATTTTAAGGAAACTAAGAAATATTGAGAAAAAGGG